GATCAGGGACATTATGGATGGATCGTCATACAAGAAACTGGGTCTAGCCAATTTTGATATAACTTGCTGTTTTAACTCGGATGGAATTTCCGTCTTTAATTCGTCCCGTTTTTCTATTTGGCCAATCTTGCTGTCCATTAACGAGTTACCTTACCAATTACGCCGGAAGCACACATTATTAATTGGGCTATGGTTCGGCGATAAGAAGCCGAATTTCGATGTTTTTCTTCAACCATTTTTGGACCAGTCAAAGGACCTTGCTACACACGGTATTAGCTGGACTTTTGACGGTAAATCGATTAAAAGTAATGTATACTTTCCAATGGTTGCGGCCGACTCGCCAGCTAGATGTCAACTACAAGGTATAAATCAGTATAATGGCGAATTCAGCTGCCCGTGGTGCCTGATTAAAGGGGAGACGTACTGGATTGATGAAAGAAGGCACAAATGGATATTCCCAACTGAAAAGGTTCACCAATCAAGAGCTCAAGAAAATTTCACATCACATCTTCGCGAATTACGGGATTTATTACACAATGGTAACAACGTAACCAATGTATTCGGAATTAAGGCCCCATCAAAACTAATCCTCTTGCCAAAGTTTAACATTGTCGACGGATTTGTGTTCGACTACATGCATACTTGTTTGCTCGGTGTTGTTCGTACTTTAACGTGTGCATGGTTGGATAGCAAAAATCACAATTTCCCGTTTTATGTTGGGCACCAAGAAGTTGAAATCAATTGTAGAATAAATTTGTGCAAGTTTCTAGTAGAATGCCAACGAATTTTGAGAGAAGTTAAGGATATTAAATATTGGAAAGCTCACGAGTGGAAAATTTGGATGATAGTAGCCGTGCCTTTACTAAACGGAATCTTAAGCCAACCTTATCTTAAACATTTCTCGAACTTCGTTACAGCTACCACTATTCTTTGCAAAGATGTAATTAGTCGAGCAGATTTAGAAACGTCAGATAATTTAATCAAGCAGTTTTGTGCAGTTCTCCCAGATTTGTATGACAGTTCATACTGTTCGTTTAATGTGCATCTAGTCTCTCATTCGGTTGATTGCGTAAAGAACTGGGGACCCCTTTGGGCGTACTCGTTGTTCCAATTTGAAAACTATAATGGTGTTTTAACTAATAGCTTCTCTGGGACGACAGAGGTCGGACTACAAATTGCAAAGAAATTAATTATTGCTCAGAGAATGTTTGCTTTGTCAAGTGTTTCTTTTACAAATTTAATGGCAAAAAACTATTATTTATCAACGACAGAAAGGCGGAAATATTATCAGAAATCATTTAAAACTGAAGTATGCACTTTTCTCGGTGCCAAAAAGTTATACATATTTAGCAATCATGAGAAGAAACTGTTATTAAAAATGGGATTCAATTCTAATGATGGATTTTCATACAACTCTGTTGTAATTAATGGTAAGATGTTTCACACCAGTAAAAAGGAAACTAAAAAACAAATCAACTCAATTGTTAAAATTAGTTCCAATTTATATGCAATTCTCCATATTGTATGTATTAATGAAGGTGATGGTGTTCTCCTAGTTAAACGCTTAAGCGTAACTGAGTATAAATTGTCAACGACTTCATATAAAGTTCTTCAAATTGGACAGTCAGTGAAGATAGTGTTAGCTAATTTGGTTGAAAATACGAAATACATATGTCAATATGATAAAACAAGAAATATTGCAGTAGTCACAGGTTTGTTAAATTGTTCTGAATTAGAATAAAATTATGTGAGTTTTCCTAAAATTAATTTAAACGTTCTTAATTATTAAACCCGTGCTGACAAATAGCATTCCTCAACTAGTGGAGCTACTTAAGGCGATGGTGTCTATTTTAGCGTTTATATTCATAATTATGCAGACAAGAATATCCACAAACTTAAATGCATATTTGTCTGGCAAAACTATGCATGTTAAATCACGCATATAGGTACCGACATAAATGCTCGACATAGAGGTGCACAAAGTAAAATGCATACTTTAAACGCCATAATATTTATGCATAACAATGCATAGATTGGTATGCACAATGTAATGTGCAAGGTTGGAATAGCGTGTTATGCATATTTCGACATAACGATTTCTACCCGGGTATACATAATTGGTTAAGAAAGAAAGAAAGAAAGAAAGAAAGAAAGAAAGAAAGTAAGTAGGTAAGTATGTACATACATAATACGCTTCCGTTGGGGAAAAGGAAGTATGTAAGACCCTCTCCAACGTGAGTTGATTGTCTATTTAGATATTTGGGTTCCTCTTTGGCTTCCAACCGTGCACCACGTATCTCTCTCTCGCTCTGCAACTGGATTCTCTCTCTTCCATCTGGGTCGCGGGTGTGCCAGGGCAAGTGAAGTGTGTCCCAAGGCCTTATCGCCATGTGAGCCTCGTCCACTCACACCCCCCACCTGCGTGCCTGGTGACACCCCCTGCCACACCCGTCCCAGCAACGACAAGCTGAGCCATCAGGCGAAGACGGATTCGCCGGACTCTGTGCACGGGAGGATCTACGCCAGGAGGACTCCCCCAGGTAGGTCATTGTCTGGTATGTCGGGGTAGTGACCGTGGGGGGTGGTGGTGGAAGAGTGGGGACGGGGTCGTGCATGGCGGTGGGCAGCGTAGTCGGGGCTACGGGGGTCCCATGACCCGGGTGTGCTTTGAGGAGTGAAGGGGCAAGTGGGTAGTGTCGCTCGGCCCTGGTCATAATGCATGACCGTGTAAGGGACACGTAGCCCGAGCCCGAAAGGGCGTTAGGGTATTTCGTGGTCCGTGGATGCCCCGCCCAACAACCTTCACTCGTCTTGCTTCCGCCTTCGCGACGCCGTCCTCATTTGGATATCACCACTATCTAATGGAATCTGCCTATGATCTCTACCATCCATTGGTCCTGCCTGGGTGATGTAGTCAGAGCCAAATGGACCTCTGGGACACATTCCCAGAGGTGATAGTGGTTTTCCTAACTCTCCACCATAGCTAGGTTTTCCCACTATTCCTCTGACTACTCTACTCTACTCTATTTAATATTCCATTATATGTACATGAATTTGATGAGGGCCACCGGCCATATATCAATAAATACTTGACTTAACTTGACTTGACTTGACTATTTAGATATTTGGAACAACTCGGTCGTGGAAAAAAGAGTTGACAAAATACACTCTGATCGAATCCCCTTCCCTTTTTTTTACCTTCGTATTTGCTAAGTTGGTGAAAAATACTGCTAAAAATTCAGGAGCACGAATCCCGAGATGAATGAGAACTAACTAAGCAGCAGCAACAGGGAATGTATGAAACTAAGGAGAAAGCATGGCACCGGGACCAGTAAGATTTTAAGGGAAGGGGTAGATTTCAGATTTTCACTTTCCCTTACCACTTTCTCCACTCGACATACTTTCCCACTTTCTTAAACTGGGTTAAAATTGCAGTACTTTAATTTTTCTCTTGCACCTCTGCAAAATAATGGCGAATTCTACTTTCTCTTTTGCAAATTCTGAACTTTCTCCCCAATCCAATTCAATCCCTGTTTGTGAGAGATCTCTCGGCTTCGTACTTATGAATCCTATCCTCGTTACTTTCTCGGGATGGTTGAATATTTCCGCGTATTTCAAATTTTTAAAAGGGTGTTACCGTTGCAGTCACAAAAATCACCACTACAAACGGTGCAAATCTTATCAAAATCAAATTTTTGTCTGTCTTTCGAAATCCCGGTTTAGATTATTGCTACTCAAGAATAAGTTTCACGTCTCATAATTTCAACTTGATATACACTCCTTAATCCATTTTTGCAATGTATGTAAATATCCAAATATGTATTTACCATTGAATTTTGTGATGCATAAAAAAAATTCCGTTTTTGAAAACTCTTGGGAGAATAATTCGCTAAACATTTTGGCAAAATATGTATTACAGCACTAAAAGGGATTATGCATAAGCAGAAATATCTAGATCTTGGTGGGGATTTATGTATACACACTTAGAAATCACGTATCAAAATAGTACCAATTAATATTTGAACCCGCCAAAGTGGCATTGATAAGTAATGCCGTGTAGGAACAGCTATGTAATTGGCAGAAAGGTTTTACCATATCGGCAGTAAATTTTAAATGACCGGTATAATTTTAATATCGAACGGTAACAGGTTTATTACTGAGAAATCAATATTTACGGGTGTATTGTATACCATATTTTTTAGGGTACACTAAACACACGTGGAAATCAAGTATTCATTAATTATCGACTGTCGTCCCACACATGTATTGAATAATGAAAAAATTCTTAAAATATGCAACTTCAAATTTATGTATATCCCTTTTTAATTTTAAAACCTAAATATTTAATACCAACGGGATTGCTCTTAAAAATAATAACAACCAGAAATAGAATATCTATACATGTGGAATATGTATTTATTCATCAACTAACTTTTGAAGAAATTAATAGTTTAAAATTGTCTAATTCATAAACTTATGGTTAGAATTAGCATTTTTTAGATATGAAAACATTTACATACATACAAATTCATCTACCCCAGGTAAGTGGTCGCCATATACATACATACGTCTTCGCGATATCTATGATAGTGACAATTGAATTGCATAGTTATCAAAATATTCAAAATCATGAACACAGTTCATATTCATGCCTGGGAAATTTGATAAGTGAACTTAAATGGAATAGGTGTGCTAGTCATCGCATTTGCTTATTTTGGCGAGAGACTGAGGATGAGTCTGTTCAGTATGGAAAGACCGTATCGCTGAAAATGGGCACAGTGAGATTTATGCAAATGAGGTGTCACACACAAATAGTTTCACTGTACCTATCGGCACGCGTGGGTGCGATCATGTTATTTTGCATGTGATAAAATATGCATATGATAAACCAAAATGTTTAGGTTTTCATGGTGGTCAAACGTAAATGAACAATTTGTATTTATGCATAATTACATCACATGCACACTATTGCACACATATGTATTTACTAAGGTCAGAAATCATGGGGGAAACTAGAAATATTTATTACCCGACTTTCCATGATTTTATTACCAAATTATTTTTAGTGTACTACATATTTGCTAATGTGGAAATCAATGTATTTAGAGACGGAAAATCCTATTCATTTTGCTCGAGCTATATATTTATCTATCTCCAGTCTGCATTATAACTACATTAACCTACATTGCCACGTGTTTCATCGTCCACGTGGACCGCTTCCCCTTTTCCGGGTGGGACGTCGTGTTCACTCCGATCAGCTTAAATCCTAAACAAAATTAAATAAACGTCTTAAAACTTGTACATACATATTTAAATAGTTAGCTTTATTAATTACGATGAGACACTTCCCGCAGCCTAAATGGCACCATGTGGTAAAATCCCTAAATTTTGTCGACTTACAAACTTCCACGCAAAATTTTGCGCATATTTCTGAGGAAAATTAGCTTAAAAACTGCTGTAACTTGAATACTTCTCAAGGGCGTTGTTTTTATAAAATTATTATAACAACTTCCACATTTTACCCGTTATAAATACTGAGGGAAATTCATTGAGAACTTCAACTTGTAAAATGAATAATTTGTAAAATGTGTAAGTTTTGTAAATAATTTTACAAACTTGTACAAAATAAAGAGACGCCATTGATCTGAGTAAGTTTACAATAATTGGTAACTTAGCTAATTTACCGGCAGAAATAAATATGTATGTGTAAAATTTTGAAAGAGTTTGTAGCTTTAAAGAATTTACAGATTTTGTAATGTTGCGTGAATTGCCTGAGTATCATAAATATTTACTTATGAAAATAGATCAAGATGGGTTAATTTACTCACCAAGGAAGTCCAAAATTTCGAAATAAGAGTCAATCTTTGCCTGAATGGCGTCATGGGTGAGGAAATCCCCACCCAGAAACTTTGGCTCCTCGCCCGGCCCGATGGTGAGCGTGGTGCAGATGACGACATCCGTTTCCCACGCATTGGAGGTCACGTAGTCCTGGAAATGCTTCACTTGCACGTGGTCCAAACCGTCAATCGTGACCAGCCAACCCCGTCCGGCTGGAGTGTTCTCGTAATCAAGACTGGAATATGTAAATAATGACGAAAAGAAATTAATTAGTTTAAATTATTCAGTTACTTCAGGATTTTAGCACAGTTCAAAATTTCCTAAATTCTTTCAAAAAATTGAAGCAAATGCGAAACTTACTTTACGACACAGATTTGTGAGATCATGTTGTAAGAAATTTGTGTAACAAAATTTTGTAGTGAATTTGTAAAAAATTGAGGCGAAAACTTTTAACTTGAAATTTTGACTTTTAATAGTTTCAATTAGCTAAAATATTTGCAGAAAAACTTAGTAAGGTATGTAAATATTTATGGAGAAGCTTGCACGTGTTTGTCTACAAGTTTAAAATGCGACTGAGCTCAGAAGTTGTGTACGTGTCTGGCTGGTTAAAGGGTAAGGAATGCGTAGTAAAAGGGTCAGTGTGATCCAATTTTATACTTTCTACCTGTCTAAAAGTTGCATGGATTTCCTAGAAAAAATAACCCTTATGTACATTTACATATATTTAAGAAATTCTCCCAGGGTCGAAGCAGCCGGAATGTTGTCGCAGTTTTATACATACATACGTATTTATTACATAGGAATAGGGAACCTTCATAAAATATGTAAGGTAACATTTCAGATATTTTTTACCCCTTTCATCCCTCCATGTATTAAGTTATTCCCATTTTTTAACGCATAGGGAAAGTTGACCTTTACCGCTGCAGCTCGACCCCTAAAGTGAGCCACCATGTTTTATGAACGTTCCAATATAAGTATTTCAATACATAGAACTATGAACCCATTATTTTGCTCGTATGGAAAATTCTGTGGGCTTTAATAATCTCTTTCTCAATTTAACATTTGCATTGCTTGAAATGTTTCTACATACTTATGTACATGTATAGGCACTATTTAGGATTAGTAGCAAGGTCGTGGTGCCGTGGTATAATAAATGGATTTACATATGTAAAATTCTGTGAAAGCATATGCTTTCACAGAATTGCGAAATAATGAGAAATAGTGACACTTCTCTTAAAATAGTTTACGAAGAAAGAAGGCGTCAAGCTCCTTCATTTTAGTTCTAAATTTCCTCAAGTTGTTAATAAATCATCAGAAATTTATGCAATTTATTCAAATAGTTAACTCTGTAAGCTGACAATCTTTAGGGCACATTAAAATTTAATATTAAATATGATGGTGTCCGTACCAAATAGGTAAGCTTCGGCAGCTGCATTTTTGATTTTTGAATTTCCATTAAAAATAGGTCCTAGGCCATGAAATTAGTGTAATAGAAGGACAATTTTGAAAAAAAGTTGCCCCAACCATCCGCTATGGTCATTTTTGTGATTTTGCCAGACCTCACAAAGTTTATATATATTCTGAATCCACTTGCCAAGACCTTTCTAACGATGCCCCATTTATGGGGCTATGTGAGACTTGATGTTGTACTTATAAAAACATGGGAAAATCGAGGTGACTAAAAGTGACCTATTTTAAGGTCATTTTCGACCTAAGACCTAAACGCCGAAAAATGCCGCCTAGAGACACTCAAGACGGCGTAGAATCCGAAACTTCAGCTCCTAACTCAAAAAATGACGAAGAAATCTTTGTACTACGGACCCGTTCCCAAAATCACAAAAATGACCATAGCGGATGGTTGAGGCAACTTTTTTTCCATAACCCATAAACTACAAATCTTTCTACCACCGGATCGTGCCAATATCTTGCGAACTTGCGGCGCATGCGTAACGTGCTGAGTTTTGAGCATCTGCGCAACTGCCGAACCAAATCTTGTTTCTAAAGACTTGCTAACATGGTCAAAAAATTATCTGAGCTGAACATGGTTTGCGTCTCCATTGTTAGATCATTTTAGAGCTATTGCCGGTTATGGAATTGGAATTGCGAGTGCGAGGATTTTTACACGTCAAAGGCATGTCCCCATTTCAATAATATCGGAGGTGGGGTGAAATTAAATTTAAGCCTGACACTCGCAATAATCGATACATGGATTTTTATTGAACTTGAAGTGTTGTACGTATTTATGAAAGAGTGAAAAAAGAGTTTGCGTTAAGTCAATTGAACTTATCTGGATGATATCATTTCTGGATTACATCCGCATTAGTCATAAATCCAAAAAGAATTATCTGCATAGATAAAAAGAGTTATACATCATCCGTCCATATAGTATTTTCCCTTCCAGTCGTACATATGTACATACCTGTACTCGGTGTGCACTCTGTTAAAATTATAATTTTCCAGGTAAATTTATTCGTTAGTAAATTAAAGGTAATATATAGTTCACTAATATAAATATTTTGAAATCTAATTTACATCCCGTTGCTCGCATTTAAATATGTCAAAAGTCCAACAAAATTTATGGCAAAGTATTTTTTTTAGTCATTTTAGAAATTATGTACTAGAAGTTATAAAATTGTAGTTATACGTAACAAAACGAGAAATATTTTAAATCTTGGGAAATTGTAGTGATACCCGGTCCGAAAAACACCTACATATGGACATAATATTTTGCAGTAAAATATTCAGTCTCTCCTACATTTATTTGTTGTACAGATAAGATACCAACAAAATCCAACATCAAAACCCGTTAAGCCATTACTCCAGCAGACCGGAGTCTATCTTAACCAATGCAATTCACAATCTGTTAAGAAGAAATCCCTCCACTTTTTTAAAATCAAAAGAAGTTGTGTTATTTTTTTCTACATAATTTTTAAACTCGAACCGAAAAATTCATGAAAATCTATAAATTTATAGATTTTCATGTATTTTCGGTTCGAGTTTAAAAATTATATAGAAAAAAATAACACAACTTCTTTTGATTTTAAAAAAGTGGAGGGATTTCTTCTTAACAGATTGTGAAATGCGCGTTACGATTTTATAATTTTTAAACTCGAACGGAAAGATTCATGAAAATCTATAAATAGTAAATTGTGATGATATTGTAAACACAGTTAAACGTGTGCGCGGCGAGTGAAGGGTTGAGACTTAAGCGAGATGAGCGAGGAGCTTGTAGTGAAAGTGTACCACGCTGTTAAAAGCATGGCGAAAGTGGCCGTTCCGCGCGTCACTAAAATCGTCACCACGTGACCAAATGTCATTTTAACACGGAAATTTTGTCACATCATCGGACTAGTATTAAAAACTGCGTCTAATGTATATAGTGGTTATGCTGAGAGCTCATGGCACCAAAGAGGTTTCCCTCGTTAGATCTTAACATACCTTTTTACCACAGCAGGTAATAAATACGTCGAGAATACAAATATTAATGGGCGTACTCGCAACAACTTCTTATTTCGCATCCCAACTCATTTAGCAAACTTGCGAAGATCAAAATATTTCTGTCGTGAAGGGATTTGCAAAATATGACTTCGCAAATCTCTCTAATCTCGCAAATCTATTGAAAAATACCTATTTTGGTATTGTTTCCATAGATTTCTTTAATTTTTCTTGCTGGCGATGGTGAGGGTATGTGTGCGAAATAATTTTGCGAAATAAGAACATGCCCAATTGCTGGGTAAGTTTGCGAAAAAAAATCCCATGGTTTTCTAGCAAAATTTTTGCGAAATCATCTCGCAAAACTTTGCAAGTTATGTTGCTATGCTCAATTTGCGAGATATGCGAAATATGCGAAGGTTGACGTGAGTACGCTCAATATAAGGTTTAATTTAACACGTACGTATACAGTTTAGATATATAAATATATTTTTTCCATAGTTTTGGTCCGGCTTTATCTAAGAATTTATTTATTTTTTAAATTATGAAGATCATGAAGATGCGAGAAATAGATTGGATTCTTTTTGCCTTCACTATATTTTGTGTTTCATCTTCCCAAGGCCAAAATCAAGCCGCCACAGAAGAACCTATAAAATTAGGCGGCCCTCTCGCAAAATATTTGCATGTCGACTCTGCTTACGATTTCATTAAAAGACTAAAACAGACTAAAACCACAATATTTGACTCACCAAATGAAAATGCCCCAATATCGGAAGAAGAAAAAACCCAAAAACTATTCGACCAGGCTAAGCACGCCTATGGCCTTGGCGGCACCTACGAATTCCTCGTCAACGCTGTTTCCATAACAGACGACAAAAACAAGGAACTTGGCGTAAATTCCGATCACTGGCCACCAAGTTCAATTTATAAGTATGCCCAAGACGAAAAAATCCAGAAACTTTCAAACCTTGCCAAAGCAGCTCTAGTCCTCCCAGAAGATATCCACGCAAAATTCGTAAGTACTAGCGGTTCGTATGTTAAAAGTTTAGCAGACCTTTCAGAAGATAAATTGAGCAAGGTTTGGATGGACCCGGACAAACAACAGATCGAAAGATCCAACCATTTTAACTCGCACCTTGGAAAATTATTCCATGAAGGCAAATACGCGGAGGCAATCTCACTTTCCATTAAAGGCTACGAGATTGGGCTAAAAGAACTTTTTACAAGTCACTACTTGCAGACAGAACTTACTAAAAAATACGAACTTGAATTTGAACCTTACAGAGATGTAGATACAGTAAACCAAGTCTTAGACCATTATAAGAAGTTGGAATCAGATATCTTAAAAAAAGTTGAAGAAGAAATCAATGACAACAAAAAATATAACAAAATGTCTGACGAAAATAAAATTAAACTGACCGAGTCCGAGGTACACAAACGTTTAAAAGATCAGATATTCAAAGACTCAAAAGCGGCCTCAAATGCCCTGCAAATTTTTAACGCAAAACACTCCGTAGCGGAGAGCATGGCAAAGGCAAAATATAACACATTACCAACAAAGGATAAAAAGAAGACTGTTGAAGAATTCATGGCAAAAATTTTGCTCGCTGATATCAAATCTAATCAAGGAAAAGTACTAGACCCTATCCTTGATGAACTTCTCCTGCAGGCGAATAAACATGGAGAAGAGGAATTTTGCAAGTATAAGCCCGGCATCGCAGACGGGTTAGATACACACCAAAAGAATGGACTAATCAACGAAGAACAAACCACGACTTTAAAAGATACGTTTAACCTGAATGAAAACCCAAATTTCAGATTCGAATTAACCCCTGTTCGACAAAATTTGATTAACCTTAGGAAAGAATATAATGAATTAGTAAATTACTTGGATGTCAGCTGTGGCACAGGACGGAGAAAACGAAGCGAGGCTAACTCATGAGACAGATCCTTTCGAAAAAGAAAAAAATTTCGAAAACCCAAAACCAAAGTCAAAGTTTTCAAATTTTCTAAGCTTCCCCAAACCTCTTGACGAGTCTACTTTCATCCTGCAAAAAATCAAGGATGGCCAATTGGAATCCTTGTTAAACAACGAAAACAGGAACATTGACTTCACAAAGGTACAAATTGGCGGAGAAACGCTAAGAAATAGTTTGAAAAAGACAAAATCCCC